GTACGTAACGTACGTACGTAACGTACGTACGTAACGTACGTAACGTACGTACGTACTACGTACTACGTACTACTACTACTACTACTACTACTCTCTCTCTCTCTCTCTCTCTCTCTCTCTCTCTCTCTCTCTCTCTCTCTCTCTCTCTCTTTCAATTATTGATCTCAAGATATTGATCTCAAGATACATATGGTGTGCGTTCATGGATACCCCATCGAGACCAATTGTATCCAGTGGTGGTTAAAGGTTATCAGTCAGTGCATGTATAGGCAGGCCACTATGTGAATAATGGGGCGATATTTTAGTACTCATGTTCTTCATGCATAACTTCCACATTGATCTAATATTGGAAGAAATCCAGAATTTGGGATGGCATGTTTATGTGCTAAAGTGAGACCCTTTCCGTACAATTTTTTATTTTTTTTTAAATATGACCCCTTCCCTACTTGTACTAGTACTTGAGAAAGGTAGGCAAAAGTCTATCATCAAAATTAGTTGGTTGGATATGACATGGCCTCACACACACGGTAGGCAAAAGTCCATCATCAAAATTAGTTGGTTGGATATGACATGGCCACTCGTCAAAATTAGTTGGTTGGATATGACATGGCCACTCATCAAAATTAGTTGGTTGGATATGACATGGCCACTCATCAAAATTAGTTGGTTGGATATGACATGGCCACTCATCAAAATTAGTTGGTTGGATATGACATAGCCACTCATCAAAATTAGTTGGTTGGATATGACACACACACACACACACACACACACACACACAGAGGTAGATTCGCCAAACCAACCGATCTAACCGGTAACCGCCCGGTTATATCAAAATTGGCCAGTTCCGGTTTGGGGTAGTTTTGGTGATCAACCGATATTTTAAACTTTACATACAATACTACTTCAAATTTATATCAAATATATTACAATGTTTTATTGGTTATCTTTGGCTGTTAAGTTGCATGTGAATCATGGTTCGAATCCCAGTCTTTTTGCGTTTTTTTCTTTTAAGAGTTCGAATTCATTTCGTCGTTGATTCAAAAAATTTACTACCCACGGGAATCGAACTTGAAACAAGTCCTTTATTATTAGACCCACTAACCAATACACCATTTACTACTTATTTGACAAAAAGAACAGCCTATATTATATATAACTTAAGTTTTTCTTCATTTTCTTTTAAAAAAAGGAGTTAGTCAAGTTGATTTTTTAACACTATTTTAATATTCTTTACATTATGGTAAAGAATAAAAAAAATTTTGGTCAATGATACTTCTATATTTTCCCATCTTTTTCAGAACATTTTAAAAATACCACTAAACACAAATCAATTCGTTAAAATCCATTTTTTTCATTAATTTTCAACTTCATTTGAGTGTGTTTTGTTTTAATCACATTCTTTATATTCTTTTCATATTTTAATAAAAAAAAAAATTTGTAATTCTTTTTTTTTTTTTAACACTTTTTTTATTCGTACTAGGTACTTGTCTTGGTTAGAGCGATTGAATCGACCGTTTAGGCCGGTTAAATTGCTTACGAG